CTCCTTTCTTGCTTCTTCAGATCGTGTTACAGTGCTGAAGTTCTACACGTTTAACGGAGAGACGTGTAAAAAGTTAAAAAATAAATAAATTAAACTTTGTGTTTGGAGAGAAGGAGGATAGAGAGAACAGAATTACACAGAGTGGACATAATGCAGTTCATTAACTTTGAAGATATCGCGACCATAGATAAAGGTCTCTAAAATAAATGGCGCTGGGCGTGGCAGGAGGAGACGGAGCGAGATGGCGAGCCATTTATCAGCTGGTGCAGGAAGTTAGGTCATCCAGGCGCTTGCTTCTGCACGCTGGGCTCCAGGAAGCTTTTTTACCCATCCGGCGGCAAAAAGGTGCAACGCAAACACGAGTTAGACCCTGGTCATCAAGCTACACATTGACGGGAGCTACGGCAACAGCTGATGTACCAGCGTCAACAACTGACCATGTATGAGAGTTAAAAATAAGGGTTTATGCTTTCCTCGCCGAACACAACGCTTAGCAGCAAAACCAGATTTCAAAAGAAATTGTAAACAACAATTAATTGTAAACGCTTAGAATTTATTCAACAGTATGTAATAAATTCATATTTAAAGTACTTTTAGAAGCTTAATTCTGAATGTGACCTGACTTTTCCTTTAAAAAAAAAAATGAAATATCAGCAGATGATTATTTTTTATTTTTCCAGCCACTAACTTGCATCTCTCTTTGTTCGCAGCTATTTTATACGAGTGTGTAAAATGTATTTATACCATTTATCCCAAAACTGACCTGTTGGAAAAAGCTGCAAAGTGCATTGGGAACTTTGTCATGTCGCCAAAGATTAATCTAAAGTATCTTGGTAAGATGAAAAAGACGTGAACGTGTGCAAATTATTTCCCCAGAATAAGAAGCAGGGTTTCCATCATGGTTTGAATTTTTTCTGCAGGTCTGAAAGCTCTCACCTACGTGGTCCAGCAGGACCCAAAGTTAGCCTTGCAGCATCAGATGACCATCATCGAGTGTCTTGATCACCCGGACCTCATTATCAAGCGGGAGGTAAGGCGGATGCTGCTGCAGGGTTGGGTTCTGGTGAGTTATACAACAGTCTCCATGGACTTTTCCTTCTGGTTCTCCCCAGACGCTGGAGCTTCTGTTTCGAATAACTAATGACCAGAACGTCACAGTGATTGTTGAGAAGATGCTGGAGTTTCTGCGAATCACTGAAGATGATCACACTACCATTGACCTGGTGGGGAAGGTGGCAGAACTGGCTGAAAAATATCCTCACAATTGTTTAAATGTTGCTCTCCGATCTGTTGCTTGAGCCCCTGTCACACCTTTGCGGTGGTAGGTTTCACTCCACAGGGATGTTTATTACCACTCGGTTATGTTTTCTTCTTTAAATGTTTAAACCAGAATGTAGTTTGCTGCTCTAAAAGGGCAAAGACCTAAAGGGTACTTCCAAGTCGCTGATTCCCTTAGAAGCAGCAATGTGCCCTGAGAGGGACAGCTTTACCTGAAGCTCAGTAATGCCCATGAAATGATGCTTGTGCAGG